TTGGGTACCACTGTCAAAGTTACCCCCATTACAGAACTATAGTCACAGGACGAGAAACTAGAAAACACCAGATTATTTAAAGAAATAAGGATTGAAATATTACCAAATTTGAGAAAAAGGACATGAACCTCAATCTAGAAAAGCATAATTCTAAGAAGGGTCAGTCAAAGAAATTTACACTGAGATACATCCAGAATAAAAATGTCAATTCAAAGACAAATAGAGGATTGACAAAGCAAAGAGCCGGGGGCATCACTGAATGGAAACTGCTTGCCCAGCCCTGGGTGACACTCTCAGCAACAGAAAACAAAAACAAAAAGGCTAAAGAGTAACAAGGGAGAAGAGTGCTATAAAATACAAGATTAAGAGCAGGTGCCTTTCTAGAAGTCCAAATGTGGGAAGTCAGTAGGGTGACATTTTGAAAATAAAACAAAGAGGGCTGGAGAGATGGCTCAGCGGTACAGAGCACTAACTGCTTTTAGAGTGGACTCAGGTTCAGATCCTAGTACCCGCGTGGTGAATCTGACACCCTTTTCTGATCTCTCTGAGCTCTTACATGCATGTAGTGTAAATACATACACTCAGGCACATACATACACATAAAATAAATAAGTATTTTAAAATAAAAACTTGTCAATCAATTCTAGATAAGACAAAACCATCCTTCAAGAATAAAGGAAAGATTTCTTGCTTCCAGGACCATGCAAGAGGAACTTGAAGTTGCTAATGCTACTAATAACAAGTAAAAAGTTGAATAAATAAATTCACTCTGGTTATTTTTCTGAGAGGAGAGGACATAATAAAATAAATAACAGGTAATAACAAGGGGCAGTAACGACAAAAGCTTTGTATAATATTATGCTTATATATTATTGAATCTAAACTTATACAAATTGTTCAAGATTAAGACATTAATTATAATTTCTAGTTACCCTCTAAGAAAATAATCAGAGCATGCATAGGAAAGGAAATGAGATAGGGATCAAAATGGAAGCTAAGGGGAGAGAAAGCTGAGATGCATCAGTCAATGTCCAAATGGCATGTGACATTTCATTGAGAGCACACAGGCTATAGATATGACAGTAAATAAGATTTAAAAGGAGCTTTCAAATACAATATTTGTTTAGTTACAATCCCCTTTTCAGGAGAGATCATATACTCACCTTTATTAAAGAATGTGCTAATCATAAAACTGAAGAATATTGAGGAGATGACATAAAATAACAAGAAGATGAAGACAAGAATGGGGTCATTGTATTGGAAGACTGTGAAGGTTCAGTCTAGAAAAATCATGAAAAAGACAGTTTTTAGTCATGTTCTAACTGTTATTAGGACAAAGCAGAAGGAGAGAAATGAAATGCCCTTAACTATTTGATTAGTTCTGGTCAGCACCGGTGACACTATTTGGCAAGATGAAGAATTAAGAATTCTTATCTTTTTCGAGGTAAGGTTTCATATAGCCCAGTCTGGCCTTGAACATGCTTTGTAGCTGAGGATGACCTCGAGCTTCTGATCCTCCTGCCTCCACCTAGAGGGATTACACAAACCATGCCAGGTTTATGCAGTACTGGGAATCAAACCCAAGCCTTTGTACAAGCCAGGCAACATCTGCCAACTAAGCTCTATCTCCAGCACCAAACATTTTGTTTCTTACAGAAAGTCCACCCACCTAGGTTTGAACTGTATTCTGCTGAGAGGCTAAGCAGCCTCTGAGATTCTACAGCAAAGACAACAAAAGCTATGTTTTCATTCCCAGCAACCCAAGAGCTGGTAGGCTGGTTCTGCACTTCTGTTTTCTCTTTTAAAGTTGAGCAGAAACATACTGGGGTAAAAAAAGATACTTGCCTTGAAAAACAAAAACATGCACATAAATATGATGTTAATTAAATACAAACAGAAGAATGTGAAGAAATAGGCAGCCCAGAGCATCCAGTTACTGAGTCCTATCATGAAGTAACACAAATCAAACATCATGAAAAATAATATAACCACACAGCACCTTATAGTTCTCAAAATATACTCAGAGGTATTATCTAATTTCATATTTATACCCCAACTCTCCAAATTACAGAGGATAAAATTAGGGCTCAGGATATCATGCAACTTAATTAAAATTATTCAGCTAGTGACTGAGTCCTGTAGCCTTTTTTTTTTTATAAGTCTAGTAACTTTCTGATACTGTTAGGACACAGGTTGTACATAAAGCTATAAACCATTTGAATAAATATATTCTTATTT